TGCTTAGAAAGCTCATTTCATTTAAATCTGTTAAACATCCATTTGTCAATACAGAATATGTTTATGTTTATTTATTTAGCAGATGCTTTTATCTAAAGCAACTTACAATTTATAACCTATAGGGCATGTTGTGATCTGTGAATATGATTGTAAACCTGTAGTTTGAAAGAAATCATATTATGAGACCAAACTAAGAATCATATTATTAAACAAAGTAAGAGTCATATCTTCTCCATAAGACCTTGGAGATGCAGCAGCATGTGAATAGTGGTAGAAGAGAAGTCAGGCGTTGGAATTGTTTTGACTATCTTCTGATACGCTGATTAGAAGCAGTGTGTTTTCTGCTTTGGAGACCAGACAGTTAAGAGGTGGCACGATCTCTGTTGACCTCTGAAATTGGCTGTGGACAAATACATTTGTTAACCTTTCACAACGTTACATTCCCCAGGGACCTGATTTACCCTTTGGCTGGGCACCAAGAGTATTCCAAGGTGGACTGCTCACAGATTCATCAAGAGGCAAAGAGCCCTCCGACCTCTTTGTTGGAGCGTTGTTGCTGCTTACTGGCTGTGTGCCACTGTCTGTTTGACCAGCGATCTGAGTAGATGAGGGGATGCCATTTCCAAACAACCCAGTTGACTTCCACTGAACTGTGATATATATATATAAGTATTTTTTGGAAGTCTTCTGCTGCTGTAAATCTGCTAGGAAGTTTCAGCTAGTCACAGCCACTAGTAAAAAGTAAAAAAATACCGTTGTAGATTTCTCTGTCAAGTAAAGAAGATCCCAGCGATTTATGAGTCCAGTAGTTAGAGTAGAAAATCTGATAGGAAAAAAAAAAAGAAAAGAAAAAGAGAATTCTTACATTTTTCTCAGAATTCTGACCTTTTTTCCTCAAAATTATGACTTTTAATCTCGGAATTCTGACAGGGAATTCAGGGGGAAAAAAGTCAGAATTCTCTTTCTTTTCTTTTCAGTGGCTCTAATCCTCTTCCGTACCTCTGACTTTACAGAGGGAACTGACCTTTGTTTAATACAAATTTTCTTTTCGTGAGGACAATTTAACATCCAACTCTCCTGAACTTCTTCACATTATCTATCTATCTATCTATCTATCTATCTATCTATCTATCTATCTATCTATCTATCTATCTATCTATCTATCTATCTATCGTAAAGAGTTACAGCTACATGTCACAAATGTCACACGGGAACTTTTAATTACAGTTTTTCTCAGTCGCTTTGGTGCGTTTCTCAGAACACTATTAACATTTGCACAGCAGTTAGTGCATTTCTCAAAACAATTAGTGCAAACTGCAAAACCTAGTGGATAGCCTGCAAAAGCACGTCACATGCTCAAAATTGATCATCCATTCCTCAAAAGCAAGTATTCATGTCAATGAAACTGTCAGTGCCATCAAAATGAAAAGTCTTGACACCATCTCTATGAACAAGATAGTCAAATGGCTTTGTCATGTTTTCACTATGACAGTTTATAATTTCAGTGTTTTCCATTGCAAGAATATTTGGTGACACCAGAAAATGCTCAAGACAGCACTATGCCCTACTTGTACAGCCATTTGAAATGTGCAGTGAAGTTACTGTAGATGTTATGGGAGTTTTGGGAGTAACTGAGACACTGAATACGTACGTTTTACATTTTTACTGTATAGAAGTGTTTGTAATTCTACAGCATTGTGCAAAAGAAAAATATGCTACAGTCACTTGTTTACTGTAGAATACATGTAAACAAAAAATCACCCTTTTGGTTGAGCTGTGCACAAATGTGAACAATATACAGTACATGTAACAGTACATACAGTAGTGCACAGTACTGTAACATACAGGTACAGTAAATCATTCTGGCACATCCAGACGTTCCTGTCTGTCTGGCCACATATTTTCATCTACATCACAATGGATGTCATCCCTCGCAATGCAGCGAGGAAAGTATCTCCTGGAGTGGAGAAGTATACAGAAGTATAGAAATGGTACACACTAGCTCCTGCTCAGTTCATATATGCTTGCCAATTGAGGATTCACCTCCTCATGAGTGACAGATGAAATTCACCTGTGTTCAGTTGTTCAATTTAGGAGACATTTCCAGAATAAAATGATAAAGAAAGGTATAGAATTTGCTTGACAGATGACTGATATTTGACATTTGATAACTAGTTCAACAATTTTGTGTGTAATGACTCAAGCAATGAAAGTAAGACTATTAGTTTTATTGAGAGTGACTATTCAGCATCCATAAGTATAATTCATTTTGACTGACATGACATAAGCAAATGGAAATGTCAAAAAACAGCAGAGAGATGTATGAAAGCAACTGATACATGTCCAAAATCATTTGCAGTTTGTTCAGAGAAAGGAGAAATTGCTACCATGATGTGCACAAATGACTAAATGTTGTGGAGGTTGAACTAATAGTTATGAGAATTTTAATTCTGATCTGAGAAACGCACCAAAGCGACTGAGAAAAACTGTATAATTAATGTAATTTTTTTAAAGTCCATCTAGGGGTGGGCAATATCATGTCATTCATAATATTACCAATTATTATTTCCTTCCAAGAAAAATAAATCCATCATGTTAAACTAACTTCACTGATGTAGTTGCATCCACTAAACAGTCATGTGTTCATCAGCATGAAGTTATTGAAGTTATCTAAGCAAACATGGCTGGAATCAGTTTTACATGTAGTCTGTGTCTCTAAGTGTGTGTGCTGCTGTAATGAGTGGATGTCCCCACTGTGGGACTAATAACATTTACTCTATTCTATTATATTCATTCATATCAGCCAGTAGGAAAAAAACGTTTGAGGAATTTTGGCCTTTCCAGGCTTCCGTACCAGTAACCTGTTTATGGAAGAGGGGTTCGTCTCACGAACAGGAAAAACACACTGGTGAAGTGGTGAATTAAAATACCAGGATTCCTAATGTTTTAACTCGCTGTGTCACGAACTAATGTAGGAGAGGGAACATGTGAGTGAGTCACCCCGGTAGGGAGCCCAGCTTGCTGTGAGCCAGCGATCTGTGGCTGATGAGTGAAAACAAAAGAAAAACATTCGGGACTGAAGCTCCGTCAACACCGGCTGGCGACCGCGACGCGGCTGCATTTCTAAATAAAGCATGTCATTTTGGCGGCACACGCAGCTGCAGCTCACGGTTCTAGGAGAAAGAACCGGGCATGCCCGTCCCATCAACAGCAGGTGGAGCTCACCGCTCCGCCCATCTCACAACCAGAGCGGAAAAAAAACATCGGCTTGAATTATACAGACGGGATTTTGTGTGTGAAATAACGCCAGTTAAAGTATTAAGTGTTGTTTGTGTGCATGTTTTTCAGTAGCTAATGCTATCATTAATATCATGTTTGTTTTTTTTCCGTAAGCCCTACGCACTGTGAGTGATGTGTGTTTGGGGAGCAGGCGCTGGTTTAGCGTGAGATACTGGAGGTGTGGCGTGAGAGCGTGTGAAGAGGGTCAGATGTGTGTGTCTCACACTCAGTGCGTGAGAGTTGGCAGCCTTGAAACCATTAGCACTCACAATAACACTAAGGGATTATTACAATTTTTGGAGAAAAAAATATTCTGGTGTTTCATAATAATTTCTAATAATTAGCCTAAATGATTGTAGCAATCTCCGCTACTCAGGGGTCACAAGCACACAAACACACTGATAGTCTGGTTGCAACAATTGTGTTTCGCCAGACCCGCCCCACAGCACTTCTCTTTAGTTCACCACAGCCTTTAGCAGTTCAGCCCGGTCTTGTCTACTCCGTTTCGGAACCTCTGTTCCCATGAAGGTCTCTGCCTCGTCCACTTTCTCCTATATTTGTAGACAGTTAGATAATTATGTCCTCCAGCTGTGTCCAGTTCTTGTGGACACGTTCACTCATCTCTCCCCTGCAAACCTGCATGTCCCAGTGCATCGCCACAATGATGATCCCTAATAATTATCTGATCAGTAATCTCAGTTTACTATATTTTACTGAGCAGAATGACTAAGTCTCATGGGAGAAAACGATTTGCATTTTACAGGAAAAGCACATCGTTGATAGTTATTTTTACATTTATTTCAACAGATTATTGTTGTGTGTGAGGGACCAAGCCAAATGAGTGGAGGAACACAGGCAATTTCCAAAAATAGAGACTCTTTAATTTACTTTTTGTTTTAAAATATCCTCACAAAAGCAGCTCGAGCTCATAAAAGACGTCAAACAAAAAACAGAAACTCAATAAACTTCTAACTTAACATATTGACTGATTGAAACCATAACCGACCTCTCAAACAAAGACATACAAGGGTATATATACACACTGGCTGATCAGACCTTATGAACAATAGGGATTACTAGACAAACATTTACTAACTAAAACTAAAACCACAAATCAGTACAGTCAGATTGTTAATAAACCTAAACACCCTAACCCATAAACCTAACTAACTTCAAACTTAAATGAATTAACAAATGACAAAATAATAAACTAAAGGAAATTCTTCAGTCCCCTCTTCAGGGAGCTATTGGTTTGGCACCATCAGCTCCTCCTGTATTTAGCTGACAGAACCCCTTCAACCCTGTTTGCCTGTCCCATCTCAGGAAGCAGGAAGTGGAGAACCTCTCAGCACCGGTATGAGAAAACAAATCAACTTAAATTGAACAAATGAAAGGCATAAAAAACAGCAGTTAACTAAATATGTGCCCTTACAATTAGAACTAATGCATTTAAGCCATCTAAACAATAAATCCCAAGAAATATAAACATACAAACTGCAATCATAAAAGTGCAAGAGTGTACTAACGTTCACTGTTGTGTGGACATGGATGTGTCCATCACATGCCCCCCCCCCCCCACCCCCCCACCCCACCCACCCACCCCCCCACTCCGTTGTCCTCACAGCGTGAGAGGTAGTCGGCTGTGGTATTGTCCCTGCCAGGGATATGTTGAACCTTGAATCTGAATGGTTGCATGGCAAAATACCATCGGGTTATGCGCCCATTAGTATCCTTCATCCTGTTAAGCCATTCGAGAGCCTTATGACCCGTTTGCAGAGTGAATTCTCTTCCCAGCAGATAGTGCGTAAAGGAATCCAGAGATCACTTTATGGCCAAGGCCTCTTTTTCCACTGTTGCATAGCATCTCTCTCGGGCCAACAGCTTGCGACTGATGTAAGCCACGGGATGCAGCTCCTCTGATGTCCCTTGTAGAAGGACCGCCCCCAAACCCCTCTCAGAAGCATTAGTCTGCAGAATGAAGTCTCTTTGAAAGTCTGGAGAGTACAAGACTGGTTCCACACTCAAGGAATGCTTAATGTCTTGAAAAGCTGCCAGGGCCTCCGCAGTCCACTGGATTTTGTTGGGGCTACATGAGCCCGTCCTATCGGTCAATGGCGCTGCCCTTGCAGGAAAGTTGGGGACGAATCGGTGGTAAAATGAGGCCGTCCCAAGGAACGACCGCAACTGCTTCCTAGTCTGTGGAACAGGACATGTTTCCATTGCATGAACTTTATCAACCTGGGGCTTAGTAATCCCACCTCTGCCACCAAATGTGAGGGATCAAGCCAAATGAGTGGAGGAACACAGGCAATTTCCAAAAATAGACTCTTTAATTTCCTTTTTGTTTTAAAATATCCTCACAAAAGCAGCTCGAGCTCATAAAAGAGATCAAACAAAAAACTGAAACTCAATAAACTTCTAACTTAACATATTGACTGACTGAAACCATAACCGACCTCTCAAACAAAGACATACAAGGGTATATATACACACTGGCTGATCAGACCTTATGAACAATAGGGATTACTAGACAAACATTTACTAACTAAAACTAAAACCACAAATCAGTACAGTCAGATTGTTAATAAACCTAAACACCCTAACGCATAAACCTAACTATTTAACTTCAAACTTAAATGAATTAACAAATGACAAAATAATAAACTAAAGGAAATTCTTCAGTCCCCTCTTCAGGGAGCTATTGGTTTGGCCCCATCAGCTCCTCCTGTATTTAGGTGACAGAACCCCTTCAACCCTGTTTGCCTGTCCCATCTCAGGAAGCACACTCACAGAAATGATTCATGCCAGAGTTAATTTTTATGTATTTTTATTTATTTGATTATATTGAAAAACTCATATTATTTAAATGTATGCATTAGAATTAATTATAGTTTACAGAATGTAATAAATTTTAATATTATTAAATATAATTAGTTATTTCTTAGTAAAATTGTTTAAATACAAAAGGCTGTAAAACAAACAAGATTCTTTTGTTTAAAATTTATGTGATTTGTTTAAATACAAGTTATGAAAAGTGAATTTGGGAAACCGGAAACAATGTCTTGCACTTCCTCTGCACTCCCGCCCGCGCTCAGGAGTAGCATCGTAGCGTTCTCCATGTGATGGTAAGTGTAACATTCTCTCTAAGGGGTGTCTTGTATGTACATAAAGATATTTTTTTTTTGCCATAGGGTGTCGAGTGCTTGCGTTTGTGATAACATTTTGTAGTTTGTGTTTATTGTATGCAGTTATATCCTGGCTACGTAGCTTTACAGGACAATGCTGTTTCCCGCTAGCATTATAGCTAATAAGCTAGCTATTTCACAGGCATCTTCGCTAGCTTGGCTATCCAGCTTAATAATGGATTCAACAACCCTTAACAGTTGTAACCGGCATGTTATCATGGTGGTTAAAAGGACAAATATTAAAATCATTAGTTAAGCAAACATAATTTTTGTCCACAACATTTAACCTATTAAATTTGTAGCAAGTTAGCCTCTGCTCTGTAGCATTAACTTACAGTTTGCTTAAAGTTAAATTTGAGAACTTTTTGGGGTTGTTTTGGAAGGAGCAGACTTGTTACCTTTTGGCAGAATTTTGCAGTTTTAATGCAAAATATGGCATTTCTGTGATTCATACTATGCAATTAAACTTAGTTTTTCTTTTCACTTATTTTTTTGTTTTCAGATAGCTAACTCTTTTTCTGCATTCTCCTCCAATCTCGTGTTCTCACCTTCATGTGGCATATATTTTGTAAGTATAAATTAAAAGTTGTACACAACAAAATGTAGCATTTTAAAGTTTATATTAATTTACAGTTCATGTGATGTTAAAATGGTTTACATTATCAAGCTGAAATGTTTAGAGTAAGCATGTTAAACTTATTAATGATATGATTTACATTTATTAAAAGTCATTAGGCCTACAAAGTCAGATCTTTGACAATCAGGAGGCAGGAGGTTCTCCAGGAGCCACCAATTCCAGAGTTCCAAAGCAGATGGCCAGCACTGTTTGATGTCAGTGAGGTAAGTGTGAATCTGAAGTGTAATAACTTGGTCTATTTTACAAACTGTTAAAATCTCTATCCTGTCTGTGTTGTCTTCTACAGATTAACTTGGAGTTTATGCGACTGACAACTATACCTCTGACCTCCAAATTCCTTGGAGAACTGGACCGTCAGACTGACAACCTGATGAAGGTTTTTAATTCCAAAGGTGGAGCAGCAGGAAGAAAGATGTCAGCCATAATGGCCCAGATGGATAATGTAAGTTTTTATTTTTATTTATCTAATATGATATGGTTTGTTTGACTCGGCTGTATAGGACAGTTCCTATGTTAAATATTTTTCTGGCCCCTTTCAAAATAGCTGTTTATTTAATGGGCTTACACCTTTGTGAGCATCACCAGAGTAGAGTAAAATAATGTGGGATGATCAAGTGGGGAACTGTCAGTGACTTTGTTTGCCTCAGCACCTGTGTGTTATATCTCCAACACTGAAAAGCATGGAATTATAACTTTTTTTTTCTTCCCAGAATGAAGACATCAACGTGAGGCGAGATTGTGTGCTGAGCTGTCTCAGCATCTACCTCAATGAAGACCTGGACACACTGGTTAAAGAACACATGGTATGCATGCCAGCCTACTGTGCTTTTGGCCAGATGTAATTCATTTCTATCTAGACATACCTGATAACATGTGGCGTTCATGAGAATGGGATGGAAATGGGGATACATTGACCTTGACCACCGACAGTATCATTGAGTCAGTTGGGTTGTTTAAAATAAAAAATTCCCCCAATGCAAGTGGTGGTAGAACTTTCCCTTTGTAGGAAGTAAATCCACTTGGTCGAAGGGATTAAGTTGGATGGGTCCTGGCACCTATACGCCCCAGGGATGACATCTCTCACCTAAACAACAAGGTGAGGACACAGACGCTTGACTGTTCTTATGACCCAGCAGTTTTAATTGTATTGACATTGATTTTTGGAAGTGCTTAGCAAGAAATGCCTTTCAGATAATGTCAGGTCATTTTGATTCTTGGTTGTGATCAGTTGGTTACTACTGTGTTTGTTTGGGGAGTATCATAGGATACATGCTGTGGACTGTCTGCTTATGAACTCCAGCGTCTTGAGAACATCATACAGAAGGAAGCCTTCTTGTCTTCTTTGAAGATATGTGAAGTATGTGGACATGTTCATTGGAATTCTAACAAGTGTAAGACTGATCAGACGTTCTCCATTTAACTCAGTCTTCCCCTCACACGTTTTGTCTCCATCCGACTCCTCTTGGTGTCTCTTCTTCTCTCCCCCCAGTTCTTTCACTGTTGTCCCCTACTGTCCTCTCCCTCTCTCCTTCTGTATCTTAACATCTGTCATACTTATCTCAATAGTAACTTCACAAATACATTGAGAATGGGATTTTATAAAGGTGTCAAATTAAGTCTTAATGGGTTATTTTAATTTTTTTCTTCAATGTAGTTTAGAAAGATAATGTAATTTCTGTCTTCTACCATTGGCATACCTTGCTGTCTGTGGAGAGAAACAATGGGATAATAGTTTTTCTCTTTCAAAAGGCATCTGAGGATCTAAGGCAGTCAGTAAAGCCAAAGTCAGAAGTCAAGAGGTAAGTCATAAAGTAGTGTAGTAGGAAGCATGATTTGTTTCACGTGCATTATTCCAATGAGGAGAGAGAGAGAGAGATCCCTAAGACAGCTTAGAAGAGAAAGGAGGTAAATATAAATAGCAGAGGCTACAGGAAAGGGTGAGGATGTTGGAAAGGTTTGCCTCCTTCAGTCCATTTTCCCAGCATCAACAACAAGTTCCTGCTTGGGTCTTACAGCCACTGGTTCCGTATTTATATCACTGATCTCTGAACAAAATCAGTGAGGGTTCTTGGTTCTGTATTTTCATATCTCTCTGCATTTTTAGTTTGTGTTTTATTGACAGATTTTTTTATGGCAGGTCAAAGGCTTCATTGGGAAAAGAGCGGTGTCCCCGGAAATCCCTCCGTCTTAACGAAGTGCAGAACCTTACCCTCAGCAGAGAATCAACCCATAAACACGTGAGAACAAGAGTACTACTTCAAAGGATTTGTCTCAGATTTTAATTGTTGTCACCTTGATGGAAAAAATGGCACAGTTTGAGAGTTGGGGTGTGAATAGTCAACACAAAATGCATCCTTATGACTATTTCCCCCCCCAGGCTTTTAGGTGGTGATCAGAGGTCTTAAGGTCATTGTTACCATGAACTTGCATCCATCTCATTCTCATGAACGCATATATGCAGTGCTTTATTTTCAAATTAACACTCAGTTGGCCTAAGGATGAGCTGCTTACATTTTGGGAGTCCAGGTTAAGGTCACACAACTAATTGTTCTGTTCTTTTTATGTTTCAGGACATTGATTCCAGAGAGGCTGAGGCAGACATTACAGAGAAGACAATGGGCATCTGCACAGTCCGAGCAGAGGGTCATGGTCCTGATGGTCCAGGTGATGGACGCTTTGCTGATGTTGGTGTTGTGCTGGAAGGCGTAGAAGTTCTCCATAGCCTGCAGAGTGTCAGCCATGCATGCGTGATGCTTTATGGACTGATCTATGCACTCAACTTGAGCTATCCAAAAAACCTGAAGCGTACCTTCGAGGTGTACCAGAAAATCCTGATGGACCTGGACTCAACCAAACTGTCACCAAAAGTGCAGGCACTGAAACTCAAATTGCTCCAGTGATATGGCTGACGGTAATGCACTTACACTTATGATCACTTATGATGGAAAAATCACTTTAAGATATAGGGTGTAGCTTCAATTGACGTTTTCGTTATGTATTTAAATAAAAGCTTGACGTGTACATTCATAATAAGGCCCTATGTTGTATTATTGCAACATACAAAACAAAGCAGCTAAACAAAACTGAACAGACTGAAAGGCCACAAGTAGAGAGTATGTGTGGTGTAGATGGGCAGTTTAGCACTTTGCTCTGATGAGCTGAATTACCTGACATTTTCTAGATTTTTTTTTAACTTGTTAGTATTTTTTTCCTCATGTTTAATTCATTAGGTTATTTCTACAGTTTAGTCACTCGTGTAGTACTCTGGATGGAGAAAAATATGGATGAGGGGCAATGGAGAGGAGTGAGATGTATTAGAAAGATGGAAGTGTTTGATTTTTTTTTTGATTAATACATGTACAAAGTGGACCACAAGGATATGTTCTGTCCTTTTGAGTTTCATGTCATGGATGTTGAGAGGCTTTAATGCTAATCATTGTACATCATCATTGTACTAAATGAAAAATAATTAAATAAATATGATGCATTTTGAATGGTGTGGTTGATTACATAAGCATAAATGGCATGTAATTCAAATAAATATATGCTATTTATCTGGCATAGGTAACCTAATTTTTATGCATTTCAAACAATATTATTTATGTATTTGAAATAAATACCCTCCTTATTATTAATTTAGAGTAATTATACTTTATTAATAGTAAATACATAAACTTGAGCATTATGCATTTCAATTAAATAGGCTTTATTACACTAATGAATATGCATTATGTAAAGTTTATTTGGTAGGTTTGTCTAAAAATTACCTAAAAAAAGTAAATGGGAATTTGTCATGTAAAAAAATTACATAAATCTTAAGTTTTAGGGTTAAATATTTCTGTGAGTGCAGGAAGTGGAGAACCTCTCAGCACCGGTATGAGAAAACAAATCAACTTAAATTGAACAAATGAAAAGGCATAAAAAACAGCAGTTAACTAAATATGTGCCCTTACAATTAGAACTAATGCATTTAAGCCATCTAAACAATAAATCCCAAGAAATATAAACATACAAACTGCAATCATAAAAGTGCAAGAGTGTACTAACGTTCACTGTTGTGTGGACATGGATGTGGCCATCACATGCCCCCCCACCCCCCCCACCCCGTTGTCCTCACAGCGTGAGAGGTAGTCGGCTGTGGTATTGTCCCTGCCAGGGATATGTTGAACCTTGAATCTGAATGGTTGCATGGCAAAATACCATCGGGTTATGCGCCCATTAGTATCCTTCATCCTGTTGAGCCATTCGAGAGCCTTATGACCCATTTGCAGAGTGAATTCTCTTCCCAGCAGATAGTTCTTAAAGGAATCCAGAGATCACTTTATGGCCAAGGCCTCTTTTTCCACTGTTGCATAGCATCTCTCTCGGGCCAACAGCTTGCGACTGATGTAAGCCACGGGATGCAGCTCCTCTGATGTCCCTTGTAGAAGGACCGCCCCCAAACCCCTCTCAGAAGCATCAGTCTGCAGAATGAAGTCTCTTTGAAAGTCTGGAGAGTACAAGACTGGTTCCACACTCAAGGAATGCTTAATGTCTTGAAAAGCTGCCAGGGCCTCCGCAGTCCACTGGATTTTGTTGGGGCTACATGAGCCCGTCCTATCGGTCAATGGCGCTGCCCTTGCAGAAAATTTGGGGACGTATCGGTGGTAAAATGAGGCCGTCCCAAGGAACGACCGCAACTGCTTCCTAGTCTGTGGAACAGGACATGTTTCCATTGCATGAACTTTATCAACCTGGGGCTTAGTAATCCCACCTCTGCCACCAAATGTGAGGGATCAAGCCAAATGAGTGGAGGAACACAGGCAATTTCCAAAAATAGAGACTCTTTAATTTCCTTTTTGTTTTAAAATATCCTCACAAAAACAGCTCGAGCTCATAAAAGAGGTCAAACAAAAAACTGAAACTCAATAAACTTCTAACTTAACATACTGACTGACTGAAACCATAACCGACCTCTCAAACAAAGACTCACAAGGGTATATATACACACTGGCTGATCAGACCTTATGAACAATAGGGATTACTAGACAAACATTTACTAACTAAAACTAAAACCACAAATCAGTACAACCAACCCTAACCCTAACGTTCACTGTAGTGTGGACATGGATGTGGCCATCACATTGTGATAAAAATATATAAATAAGCCAAGGTCGGAGTTCACTAAAATACTCTATGTCAAAGAGATACAAATTTGAAGCATGCGTCGATATTTTCCTAAGTAGTTAAAAAATGCCCTGTGTGAGAAACTCCCATGTTTGGCAGGCATAGCTCAAACATTTTCAAAAACAGAGATACATTAGACTGCAAGTCCCGCTGAAGATAAAGGATGCTACCTATTTGAGCCCTGTTTTCATGTCTGGGGGACATAAAGGCTTGGTGAACATTATAAGCTCCACTGAGTCAGATGCAGATCATGGCCCAGTACATCTGGTAAAGCTTCAGGGTCACAGTTGATTCTGAGCTACAGTTAGAGAACCACATCAGAGCAGTTGTGAAATCTAGTTTTTAACGTTTGAAGCAGCTGGCTTAACTACATTCTGTGGACTTCCTGAGAGTAATGAATCACAGTAATCCAGTCTTGATGCAATAAATGCATGAACTAGTTTTTCAGCATCACTCCTGGAAAGTATGCTTCTAATCTTAGCAATATTGCGAAAGTGGAAAAAGAAAATCCTACAAACCTGTTTAACTTGGGATTTGAATGACATGTCCTGGTCAAAGATAACACCAAGGTTCCTTACTTTGTTCTCGGAGATTAATGTAATGCCATTCAGGTCAGGTGATTGACTAAGCAATTTCCTTTTCTGGATTTCTGGTCCAAAGATGATAACTTCCGTCTTGTCTTGATTTAAAAGCAAAAAGTTTCGAGTCAACCAATTTTTTTGTCCTCAAGACAAGCCTGTAATCTACCTAACCGATTAGGTTAATCAGGGTTAATGGATAAATATAACTGAGTATCGTCAGCATAACAGTGGAAGTTTATCCCATGTTGCCTAATGATTTTACCAATTGGGAGCATATATATAGTAAAAAGAATTGGTCCAAGCACTGAACCCTGTGGTACTCCACAAGTTTCCCTGGAGTATGAAGACAATTTGTCATGTACATTTACAAAATGAAATCTGTCAGACAGGTAGGATTTAAACCAGCCTAACGCTGTTCCTTTGATCCCTACAACATGTTCAAGTCTTTCTAAAAGAACATTGTGATCAACTGTGTCAAAGGCAGCACTGAGATCTAACAAGACTAGAACAGACACAAGATTCTTATCTGAGACCATGAGAATATCATTTGTAACTCTCACTAATGCAGTTTCAGTGCTGTGATACTCTCTAAAACCAGACTGAAATTCCTCAAACAGATCATTAGTGTTTAAATGCTCACATACTTGGATGGCCACTATTTTCTCCAGGACTTTGGATAAAAATGGAAGGTAGATATTGGTCTATAATTCATTGGTTCATCTGGATTCAGAGAAGGCTTCTTAAATGAAGGTTTGATTACAGCAACCTTAAAATCCTGTGGTACATATCCATTTACTAAGGATAGATTGATTATATTTAGAATGGGGGCAGTAACCAAAGGAAATGCATCTTTAAATAATTTGGTTGGGATTGGATCTAAAATGCAAGTTGAAGGTTTAGATTAAGCTAATATTTTTGATAACTCTGAAAGCTCAACTGGATCAAAACGGTTCAAACACAGATGAGGTTCTACAGTCACCTCTGATGCTGCCTCACTTACTGAGGAAGAAGAAATCGCATTAGGGAGGATGCAGCTCATTTCACTCCATCTCACTTCTGAATGTGGATAGTAAAATCCTCGCTAAAATGCTAGCCCACCATTTAGAGACGGCCCTGCCCTTGGTTGTAGCAGATGACCAAATGGGAAGAAGAAAGAACTCTGATCCAGGAGACAAAACGTTCGCCAAAGCCAAAATGTTTGAGAGTGTAAAAGAGATAGTCCCACTCCACCCGATCAAAAGCTTTCTCTGTATCAAGCGATAATAACATTTCTGGAACATCAGGTGGAGTGGGACCATGCAGGATGTTTAATAGGCAAAATAGGATTGGCGACCTTTAATAAAACCTGTTTGGTCATCTGCCACAACCGAGGGCAGGACCGTCTCTAAACGGTGGGCTAGCATTTTAGCGAGGATTTTACTATCCACATTCAGAAGTGAGATGGGGCGAAATGAGCTGCATCCTCCCTAATGCACTCTCTACTGTCGTAGAGAATTTGGTACTCACAGGAACCATTTCTGTTTTGTTTGCATTAGTAAGTGAAGAGGGGAGAATATGTGTGTATACACAAAACATGTATGCGTTTACAGATCTCTCCTTTTTTGGGGGGGTTGGGCTCCATTGGAGCAAGGGCGGGGATGTTATTTGTTTTATTTTTGTTCTGTAGCATTTACATTTAAATTTTGAATCTGTGATCCATTTGGTTTGTACATTCACAGCATATATGACAATAAAAAGACCTTGAGCAAAAAAAAAGTTGTTAAAATTAATTAAATGACACCGAGTTGTATAAAAATATTGGTGGCTTTGTAACATATAACCATAAAAATCATGTTTAAAATACATGGGAGCGAGTGTAAGCATAGACATGAATAAGTAGACACCCCATTGGGCACTGGAGAGCGTAACACCGTTGCCGCCATATTGGATGGGTCTCCTCACTCTCCAAAGTCAAAGCAGGGTGAGCAACTATGTCCGTTTTTGTACAGCCTACGGTTACAACAACCGGCGTCTTACTGAAAACA